ATAATACTATCGTCCTTATTTAACAATATCTGGACCGGAAAAAATTTTAGTCATTTTTGGTTCAATGAATGATCATTAATCAATGTCCGACTTAATGCCCGACTTAATGTAATTAATTCATACAATGGCTGGATTCATTTATATATTTATTCTTGCAATAAATTCTAGTAAATAATTTTATAATCTAAATCATTATGAGAATTCAATGGACCAATTTTTATTACTTTTCCATAACTCAATGAATATTTTATTGTATTTACAGTTTTGATTCGGTGTGTTTATAACTATAAAAATGTTTTCGATTTTGTATCAACTGTTGCTGTTGTCTCGCCATTTGCTTTGTATTTTTTCTTTTGTCTCTTGTTTTTTAAATTTTAATTTTTTGTTTAAATTTAATTTGCAAATGCATGCAATAAAGTTATTATATATAATAATATAAAAATAATATAAAAATATGAAATAATATGTATAACTTTATTGTATGCACTCTCGTAAATTGGATTTAAACAATGTTTAAAATTACAAAAAAAGAGATACAAGAGAACAAATATTTTGTTAGATTAAAATAATTACGTTGGAATCTCAAGCACGATAAGTAATGCCGCAAAAAGTTTTGGCATTCTAACAATCAGTTTGAGTATTCTACATAATTATTTTGGTGGTCCAAATAAAATTACTTTCAGATCCGTACCTACAAGACAAATTTTTAGATAGTTTAGCAAAATCTCTTTTCCATGTAACGTTCATAGGAAAATTTTTCTTCCTTTCTACCCAGAACACGCTTACGTAATAAAACATATTTATGACTCCGATGATTTTCATAAATTGCTTTTTCATAAATTCAATCGAAGATTGAATTGAGGTTGATGAATTAAATTTTTCGATGCTACAAGCGCGACAAGACGCACGGAAGCTTTCTTTTTTAATCTCTCGGTCAGCGGAGATTAGCGATCACCTCCGTTACCCAGAATTAATTGGCGTGATGATTAGTGAGCGAGCATGACGTGTTTGCGCGAATAATCCATCCTGCCACATACGATCGCATCTCATCGCTTCGCGGCGAGGCAAGAGGCGACTGTAAAGGCGGCAGTTTGTAAAATCATACGTACGATAACACCGAGGTATTTACGAGCGAGTCGAGAGCACGAGCAGTCGGCAGGTGCTTGTGGCAAAAGGTGGTTGGTTGTCTCGAGACAGCCTTGAAGGGAGAGAAAGAGAGATCGGCGGCGATGTGCACGGGTCGTTGCTTTCGGCATGCGATGAGAAACAAAATTAGTCGCTCGCACCTTCCAGCGAATTCATCGTCAGGTAGACCTCGCTGCTCGTCGAATCGCCCGATTTTCGTCTCGCTCTCTCGTGCGAAAAATGGGAAAACCTTCTCCCTCCTTGTTCGGATTACGCGATTACGTCGAACAACAAAGCGTTCGCCGTGTTCCTTAACGTGCACCACATAGTTCGATACATAGAAAACAATGAGTCGCGATATATATTTGTGAATCGCTGGCGGGCGCCCGTCATTCCGTTTGTCCTCGAGAATGGAGGACACGGGGGCCGATCTGGTATGGGGCCTCCCGACTAAAAATCGAGCAATCTCGAGCCGAGAGTGCTCGGTCGGAGAGAGGACGAAGGGTCGTCGGCAGAGAACAATGGATCACGTTTGCGCGTTCGGTTCAAGGTCCGCGCGAACGAGCGAACGAGCGAGCGAGCTGTCCGCGTCTAGATCGGTTTCGAGAGACGGAATCCTCTTTTCACTCTTACTTAACGAAACCGCTAGTCGGGCAGGTGGTCGGGCCCGATACGTGATTCGTGACTTAGGGGGAAGGGAGGGGAGGGGAGGGGGGGGAAGCGCCGATTATATTCGGCCGACGGGCATTCGCTCGGCCTTGTCCACGTCGGCGCGAATCGGACGTGTCGTGCGGCGTAGTGCCGCTGGCTCATCACCCGATAAATTCCGATTACTCATAGTTACACATCCCGCGTATCGATTATCGTCCATCTTTGGAAGAGATGCGCAACGTAACAGAAAACATTAATAATATCTGTCACGGATATTTTACGGAAATACGGAACAGCACGAGCACACGAAGTGAATGAAAATTTAGGTAGAGAACGAAAATTCCCTTTAGAAGAGAAGCCTCCCAAGCAGAACAATAAGTCACGATCCCTTACAGAAATCTAATACTGACAAACTTATTATTGAAAGACAGCAATTCATTACTTATTTGGAGTAACTAAAAAGCACCGAACAACAGTGCTTTTAATTATTTAAAATAGGTGATTAAATCATTAATTATTGTCTTTCAGTATTGGCCTTTCAGTATTAATTTTCTATAAGGGATAACGTCAAGATATAGTTAAAATGAACTGATTAAAAAGTGACTTTGAGGTTTTTTTTTATTTTCTCATTAACTTGTAGTTAAGTTTAATTTGGTAATAATGTAAAAATTGCATTTTTTTAGTTTCATCAGTAAACCGATGGTTTTGGGAAAAGTATAACTTTTAAAATTATCACTACAAGTCAGTTTAGTGATTAATCATAGCTGAAAAAACAATTTTTACACCATCATCAAGTTAAGTGAAGCTAAGTCTAAACAAGTTAACAAGTATTATATATAAAGACTGGGCTTTAGTACTCATTTTGTGGAGTCATTTTCATGTCATGATAATTTATGTTCCGCTTCGACTATATCATATACGAGACATCAAATTTAGGCGAAATGCTTGTGAAACGGATAATATCCAAAATTTGTTAAACAGTGATGAAATTGTGGCGTTTTAATAACCAACAGCGACTTTCGTACAGGTGTTAATGTCGGTGTCGTCGGTCAAAGTTCAAGGATGATAATTGGATGAAAACTTAGCACGAGTCGCAAGATTCTCGTCCCTCGGTTATCTGTAAAAAACTCAATTAAGTAAACCGCGGTAAACGTGAGGATTCTTTCCATTAGGCTTCCCCAGGGATTTGACATGACATTCAATTCGCAGGGCGACGGTCCACCGGTAATACGAGATTTATTTACGCTCTAAACATGACGCAGATCGTTGTTATTTCACCAGACTTAAGCCCAGTTTCAACTTACTGGTTAATTCTTAACCGAGGTTCAACTTATTCATTATAATTATTCTCTTATCAATTCTAGAATTGGAAAAAGATGAGAAATAAGTCGAACCTCGGTTAAGAGTTAACCTATGAGTTGTGAAACTGGGCCTTGTAAACCTTCCTTTACCTCCCCCATTAAAATAGAGAGATAACTGCGCGGAAAAAATGTCGGTGCACCTCGTGTGCACGGATCGTGCGCGCGAAGCCCGTTGACGGCCAGGGAGGAGAGAAGAGAAGAAAGAGCGTTATACGATCCACCTAGGTCGGTGCACTTTGACCCGTTCGACATTCGCGGGGAAAATCATATATCGTCACGGGCTACATTTACTTCACCAGATCTTACAATTAGCTCTCCGTAATGTCTGCAACTGTATGCAGAAACGGAGACTTTTATGAATGTGGAATATCTCATCCGAACGGATATTTATCCCTTTTTTGGTTGATATACGAGATATATTTCTATATATATATGTATCCTAAAAATACTGCTTTTTGTCAAATCACTCAAAATTTTTTTAAATTTGTTTTCGAAAATTAACATACTTTTTTAAATACCATGAATTCATTGGTGTGGAATTCAACACCCATAGGAACTCTGAATGTGGAAAGCTCCATAATAAAAGGCTCGTTTATGATTGCATAAGTGCAGTTGTAAGATTTGATAAATTACGATCGAATATTCTCCTCAAATTCGGCTGTAAATAATCAATTCTTACAATCACTTATAATTATTTTTGTAGAATGGACTATGAAGAGTAACGAGAACGAGATTTTCGCATAATGCATAACGCACAAAGCATTAAAAAATCGACCATTGAAATCTTTTATTTCATGGAAAGGCAGGAAATGAAGAATTTTAATTGGTTTCACAAATACAAGATTTTTCTATTTCCAAGAATCAGAAAGAGATAGTAAATTAAACCGAGATTAATTTTACATTTGTGGAATAGGTCCTTAATTTGTTTATGCATAATGCATAACTCATAATGCATAAAAAAATGAATTAATCGGAGTCCTTCGTTTCCTCCCTTTTCTTGAAATAAAAGCTTGATTGGTTAATTTTTTTATGCTTTATATTACGCATTATGCGTTATGCAAAGATCTGTGCTCCGGCCTCAACGTTCTAAAATTCTGTATTGCGACAAAATAAAAAAATTTTGAGTGAGAGAGAGAGAGAGAGAGAGAGAGAGAGAGAGAGGAAAGAAAGAGAGAGAGAGAGAGAGAGAGAAAGACAGAGAATCGATTCGCGATTGCCATGTATATCTACAAATCGTTCGGAGGTGCGGCTCAGCATTCGAGAAATATCTTCGAATCATAGATATCTCCGGCTCTAGGGGATTTGCACCCCGGTGTCGATATCACGACAAGCCAAAGACACGGCTGCGTTTTTCCATTTTCGAGTCAATCCTACGGGTCCGGGATTCGCCGCTCCGGGAAATCGGAGCGAGTGAAACGCGCGGGCGTCCGGTGTGAAGGGACGAACAGTGGCGTTTCCACGGGGAAACTTCGCCGAGGCCGAGTGGATACACGAACGAACGAACGAACGAACAAACGGACGAACGAACGAAAGGGGTTGCGTGGCGTACACAATCGAGGACGGGAGTGCACGCATCCGTAGCGTTGAAGGAGCCGAGGAACGAACGCGAACGTGAACGCGACGTCGCGTCGGTTGTTCGCTCGCTCGCTCGTTCATTCTCGGTAAGTTGGCTCGCTCCCTCGTGTTGCGTTCAGCGTTACATTACATTGCGGCGCAGTGCCGCTTCGCCGCGCCGGTAGGTGCGCTAGCGCCTATGCGCCGGGTTCGATGGTGGGGAGGGGTGGGCGCGTACCACGTGACACGGGCGGCCAATCGGATGCGCGCATAGCCGGCGTCCGGCACATGGCGGCGCGCCGGCTTCGACAGTCGCAGTCGCAGTTCGTCGCAGTCAGTCGCAGTGGTAACACGAACGAGAGGGTAGTTGCACGCGCCTGCCTTCGAAAGGAAAGATCGCGGTGAGAGAAGAGAGGCGAGAACCGAGAGAGCGAGAGCGAGCGAGGGAGCGAGAGGTGGTGAGGATCACGATTCACGAGCGGAAAAGAGAGAAAAGAAGGGAGAGAGAGAGAGAGCGGAAACGGAGCGGATGAGACTCTAGAAGCGCGCGCGCCCCTTGCCTTCGTTTTCAGTGTTTCGGTCTCGCGCGACGAATCGACTTCTTGGACGGCTGAGTCAGTTCCACTCGGTCGAAGTGACAAGGCAGCCGAACAACGCGCGACACGAATCATCGTCACGTCGTCCCGGTCGTCGGTAGTCGAAGAAAGAGAGAGAGGGAGAGAGAGAGAAAGAGGATCGCGACGGAGAGAAGGAAGTGGAGGTGGAGAAACGAACGAACGAAAGCTCGGTCGAAGACCAAGCGACTGTACGAGTAACGAGCGTAAGAGTGGAGTGACTACGGAAACCGCTCGTCGACACGAACAACCGCATAGCACAAACTACACGCGTTAGACGGTGGGAAGGTACAGTGGGGGATATCGGGAAGGCCATTTTCGTTGCCGGTGCGCGATACGCACGACGTAGACACGAACCGGCGTGTGCCTCCCGGCGCGAAGAGGAACGTGCGACTGACTACTATCACACACCGCGCCGTCGTCGCGGCCCACGTTTTCACGTCCACAAGAGGGGACCGGAGAGCTGATTACGGCTTGCTTGCGAAGCGGAAAAGGTAACGATCATTCGAAACCAAGCCGACAACGTTCGTTATCTTCCGCGCGGTGCGTCGAATTTCTCTTTGAGTTTTTTTACGCGTACGTAGCGTCGCGACGTTAAAGATCATCACGCTCGACCCTAATCGGTGGGAAGTTAATCCTCGTCGCGTTATCACCATCGTCGTCGTCGTCGTCGTCGTCATCCTCGTCAAGGCGACGCGAATAATTCCGCTCGTTTGTTCGATAGAGAGAAGACGACGGAAGAGATAGAAAGAGAGAGAGAGGAAAGACCGACGTGAATATACGGTGAACACTCGAATAGCGCGGAGAGACCCTAGTGCAACGTTTTCAACCATCATCGACAATTGTCGTTGTCAACGTTTTATCCGGTGTCGCACGATATACGGGAATTTGTAATCGATCGAAATGCCAACGAGTTTGTTCAGCGAGATGGATCGCGGCACGAACGGCGGCGGTGCCGGCGTCTCCTTTGAAGATCAGCGCGCCCTTCAGCTCGCCTTCGAGCTGTCGATGCTCGGTATCCCGGAGGGTTCGTCTGGATGCCCCGGCACCGGTACCGGCAACGGCACCACCAATGATCCGGATCCGCTACAGACCGCACCAGCCGTCTTCGAGGAGGCGCGTTCTAAGAAGAGCCAGAACATGACCGAGTGCGTGCCGGTGCCCAGCAGCGAACACGTGGCAGAGATCGTCGGCCGACAGGGTAAGTGTGTATTTAGCACTCTGTGCGAAATTTTACGTCTCTCTTCGCGCCTTTTTTTTTATCTCTGCATTCTGTTGGCTGAGGATTCGTCCTTGTCAAGTTTAATAGCGAGACGCACGAGTGTTTTATTCAAGATTTGAGAGACCGGTATTCATAATTGATTCTCTTATCTTTAAGATCGTTTTAAGTAATGTCTTAAGATGCCAATACACAGCCGTCTGATCTTATAACATCTTTAGACTATACTTAAGATAGCATCAAATGTAAGAATCGCGATTTTATCAATATCGATCATTCAGGTATATTAATAGATATTAGTAAATATTCTATCCGATTCTATCGACTGAAAATTTTTAAAAAATCTGTTATTTACTATTTTCTACTTTCTTTCTATTTAATTAATATCATTTTTTCGTTTTTCTAATATATTCTACTATTTATCTATATTTTTACACACAAAATTATTTAATTAATAATTAATTCATCTTTACTCTTTAGTTTCAAAATAATTTATAAATTTCTTCCGCAATGTTTAAATTATTACACAAAACATATTTCAAGACACATTACTTAAGATGGTCTTAAAACAGAATCGACGGTGAATACTGGCCTGAGATTTACGAGATAAAATAGATAAAATTGGGATCCTTGAAAAAAGGATCGTTTGAGTATCTACACTCTAAAAAATGTCGGTGTGGATTTAACACCATGCAGGATGTATAGTTCTCATCGTGTTGACGTGTCAATATCAACAGTAGATTTATAACTCCTAGTGTTTGTATCGACACGAATGTAATGTAAATTTAAAATCCATGGTGTTAAATCTGCATCATATTATCGTTAATATTAACACAGTGAGATTTATAAACGTTACATAATGTCAAATTCGTACCGATATTTTTTTAGAGTAAGGCATTGATTTCATTTGTTCTGTACGTCCACTTCTACATACAATGTAAATAATCTCTCTGTTTAACTTTTATTTTATCTTCTCTCTATTTCCAGGAATTAGAAAAAGATAAAGAGTAAATTATAACGAGATTAGTTAATCTACATTGGTACAAATAATAATAATGTAGATAATAAATATGATCGATATTTCTCGGCAGTTAAACGACACGTTTTTACCAATGTAAATTAACTTTAATTTTAGCTCACTTTACTCTTCATTTTCTTCTAATTCTAAACCTGGAAAAAGATGAAGAGTTAGTTGAACCGAGAAATTAAAATTAAACTGCATTAGTAGAAACGGGTAACTGTGAGAAAGGCAACGAGGGACGACTCCAAGTCTCTCCGGCAGTTTTTTTCAAAATCGCGTTGCAACTTCTCCAATACTTGGCGTCATTTTTCTTTTTCTTTCTTTTCCTTTAAACCTCTTCTTTCGTATATTCCGGTTGGTGGAGTCGCGGGCGATTATAGCGCCACTGACAGTTCATTGGCACGACTATAAACGCGACGCACGCTGCGGGAAACTTGATACCGGCTACGATAGAGCAATTAAACCAATTTACGTACGAATTTTATTTCGCGCGCTCGCGCGTGCGTGCGACGTGGACCGGCCGGGAGATATCCGGGGGTTCCCCCTTCCCTTTTCCCCGAACCTGTCGTAGGTCGCGGTCGTTATGGCTCCGTACTTTTTTTGTTTCCTTTTTTTCCCTCCCCGTTTTCTCTACTATTCGTCGCCGTTCTCTCAACTACCGTGGCGAAATAATGTTTACAATTACGATTTCTATCACACGATACGATGCGACACAACACCGTCGCGTTTGCTCGCGCGCGCGCACGCTCATAAATAAAGACGCGTTATATTCTTCTGCATTGCACGGCCAAGACCGATGACTCTCTCTCGGTCCCAACCTTGAAGAGACCGGTCACCGTTCTGCGAAACGGCTAATTCGTCTCGCCGCTCTTCTTTTATCCATGCCGACGATAGTCCCTTCCCGCCTTTTTTTTTATTTCGCCACGTCACTTTCCGAACAGAATGCCAAAATGGTTGCGCTTCGAACCACCGGAAATGCACCGAATGATCGATGTTAACTTATGTCTACTTTTCACCTTTTCGTGTTTAACAAGGTTCCCGCAAAAAGTGAAGCCATAAAAAAGTCTGTGGAAAATTGTTTTTTATTATTCGAAGAATAGAATTTTTTGTGTGATTTTTTTCTTTTCATCTATGAAAAAATTCACACAAATATACAAAATTTTATTACTTAAAATTTGATACGCGTATCCATGCATTGATATGGATTACATGCAGAAAAAATACATTCTGTATGTAAATAATTATTTCAAATATTTCAAAAGTTCATGTCCGCAAATCTATCGTAACATCATAAGCATCTAATTTATTTATTTCAAATATTTTCTGAATTTCAATCGATTTATTGCCTTGTTCAATTATTAAATTAAAATAAATTCGAAATTTTGTAATTATATAAAATCGCTTCTTCGAGCAATTTTATAATATTCTTTAAAAGAAAATAAATTCTTGTTTTGAATAACATATAAATTTTCTAAAATTTTTCAAGTTTTTATTTTTTTTTAATTTCTTAAAATTTCTAACAAGTATATTTGAAAATTGTCAAGAAGATATTCTTTGTTCAAGATAATCGTTACTCAAAAGGAAGAAAGTATATTAAGTAGTTATTTTTCTTAGCATTAGAATGTTATTTTTCTGTGTGCAGGGTTCAGACACAATGATGAGAATAAGGAGTAAGGAACAAGAAATAACAGATTCCAATCTATCAGAAACCGTGTATATTCTGGTGTATTTGATTTCCAGTAGATTGAAATCTTTATTCTCCTTTCATTGTATCTAAGCCGTTAATTCTTAATTGAATAAAAAAAAATGATATATGTCACGATTAGGAAACAAAGTGTCGATGTCACAGCTTATTGCAGTTTATACAAAACTTTCCGAAATGTTGAGCATTTCAGAAGAACATAGATAAGCTATCATCGTTTAAAGCTATTTGTTTCGAAGCCTCATTAACCTTCGTAATATTTACGATACATAGCACGATCATTGTGTTTACACAATGTGATCGAAGTAAGGAAGTATCACAGATCATTTAATATATGGAAAAAATATTTTTCGTAGAAGTACGTTTGTTTTATCTTTTATCAAGCTGTGCGCAAATGATAAGAAATCTTTCTCGTTATTGAGCGATTAATTCAGTCGACAGGATGAAGAAGGGGAGGGGAGCGGACAAGAAAGCGCCCCCATTGTCGAACGATGTTATGCGTCCAAGTTCGCGTCTCGCGGAATGTTTAGAAATTCAAACAACGGCGCGGCACGTGGCCTTGCCATTTAAATCTTAACGTCTGTCAGTGGCGATTGTATGCCGCTGAATAATCGGCGACGATCAATACCGTTCGGAGAACCGACGTACATCACACCGTCCCCGTGCATTCGTACACGCCGTGTATATATATGTATGCAATATGCATATACATGCTAAGTCACTAAGTTGTTTCGTGAATGGACGGATCCGCGACGCTCGTTTCGCGAAACTTGGCGGGCACGAGGTATATAACGCATATATATGTATCAATCGATCGATCGTAGTATTTGAAGAATAAATCGAATGAAACCGCGCCAGCAGTTCAGGGACGCCGCTTCCCGTTGGAGAGAAGCGCCAAGGAAGGAAGCCGTATGGCTTCGCGGTCATCGTCACGACCGCAGTTGATACAATACTGACCGTGCGACGTAACGTCAGACTTGAAACGAACGTCGTGCCGCGGTTGTCCCGCGCTTGAAATTCCGCACCTCGCCTCGAGAGAACCGCCGCCGTACGTGCTCGATTCTCCCTTCCTCTGCCCTTCCGGGTCCCTGGTGCGTGTACTTTTTAATCGACCGTTTTATCGCGTGAGAACCGCCCCGCCATTCGGAGATGAACGTATTATAGTCTTTTTCGTTTAGAAAACGCGGTCCAGATTTTTCATGATTATTGATTCGACCCAGCTTGACCCTCCCCCCCTCTCCCTCCTTCCTTATTCTGTAACTCGTTATGGCAGTAACGACATCGTTACACTGTTGCGCAATTTTTTTATCATACAGAATATCTGTTCTACGATATATAATAGTCGTCGTTACCGTCATAACGAGTTACGGAGTCATTTCATCCTTGTTTATCAAATGACAAACAAGGACAAATAATCACGAGCGTTGTGAGCGTGAATCGGAGCCCTGGAATCGTACTTTTGAAAAACATCATATGTACATGAAAATGTCAGGAAAATCTAAAAGTACACGTAACGTACACTGAACAATAGTCTGGTATTCGCCACTCAATTCTTTGGAGTGGGATCTCACTCTAAAGAAAATTGAATCTGTCTTGAAGTTCAATTTTCGATCTTTAAGCGTGAGAATCATTCTAAAAAGTTTTAGAGAGTATCAAATGTTGAGTGAAATAATTCTAATCTAATCTTTGGCTAGTATAAATAAAAAATAATCTTACTTTTCTAAATATTTAGCACGTATTATCAAAAATAATATAACCAACTGTTGGTAATACTTAAATATTTAGGAAAGTAAAATTATTTTGTTTATATTAATCAAACTTTCTCAACATTTGGTGGCTATTACTAGTCTTTTTATTTAATGATACTGACTATTCAATGATACTGTATAGTATCATTGAATATAGTATTTTTGTATATTTCCGTATGCAATATCTTTGAAAAATATGGCCTCTTCTGGTCGTCACTCTGGGATTCGCAATTTGCACGAAGTCGTAAATCGCGTCGTATCGTGTTTTCGCTCGCGATGCGTTCGCGCTGCACATCCGGCGCGACCATTGATCGGCTCTTGTGAATGAAATGGTGCCACGATTGCACGCCAATTCGAATTAGAGTTTTCTATAATAAAAGAGTTAAGCCAATGAAGTAAAGATTTTTGATTGGTTGTCTAAATCCATATAGCCAACCAAATACGAATTTTAAATATTGCATTTAAAAATACAAAAAATTCAAGGGTTAGACATAGACGTTAATATTATAAT